AACGCACACATTTGATGGGATTAGCAGCCTCTTCCTAAAACACAGATTTGAAATAATAAAGGTTCTATGCTTCAGCAAGATGTGCCAAGTAGTCACATCAAGCATCTGCTTGTATTATGCCAGTTCTATTCATACCCACATGCTTTTTTATGTCCATGTTTACACAAAAACCACTTAACATGTTTGGTTTGTCGATATGTAACTACTTAATTTCATCTCAAGCTGGATGGATATAGAGGACATACAACCAAGTGATTTAGAAGTGCTTTTTTAATTCATAAGATTTGAATAAATTCAGTGGTTTGCTTTGAAAAAGCTATATTGTTTAGTTTTGTTAGGTTAGTGATGCTGAACTGTAATACTGTTTAATCAAATTATTTATCTTTCACTGGATTTTGGCTCATTAGTATTATATGACAAAGTGAACCTTTTAATTAATATCAGCAATATTATCTTTCTTTTTTTTTTTTTTTTTGCTCCTATGCTTTGTCTACCAGGATCTGTTGTTAATGGAATTACGTGCGTATGTCATAAACAACAACTTAGCCAGCACTGTACCATTTGCATTGCATGAAAAGGTAAGAGGGATTTCTTTTATGCATATCTTCATGAACATTTTATCAAACTCACCCATTTATTAGTCTTTATAAGCATCTCTTTTTTGCCCTTTGGACTATACTGATAATTAAATGGCCTGTGAGCTCAATGTATAGAATATTAGAATCATAGAAAATTAGATCTGGAAGGGACCTCAGGAGGTCATCTAGTCCAACCCCCTGCTCAAAGCAGGACCATCCCTAACTAGATCATCCCAGCCAAAGCTTTGTCCAGCCAAGGATGGAGCTTCCACCACCTCTTTAGATAGGAAACCTGTTCCAGTGTTTTACTACCCTCCTAGTGAGAAAATTCTTCTTAATATCTAACCTAAACTTCCCTTGCTCCAACTTAAGACCATTGCTCTTTGTTCTGTCACCTGTCATCACTGAGAACAGTCCAGCTCGTCCTTTTTCGAACCCCCTTTCAGGTAGTTAAAGGCTGCAATTAAATCCCCTCTCAGTCTTCTCTTTTCTGAACTAAATAAGCCCAGTTCCCTTAGCCTCTTCTCATAAGTCATGTGCCCCATCTCCAAACCATTTTTGTTGCCTTCCACTGAACTCCCTCCAATTTGTCCACATCCTTTCTGTAGTGGGGGCCCAGTGGTGGATTAAGATTTACTGGGGCCCTGGGCTCCAGCAGAGGGAGAGGCTTCCTGGTGCTGCTGCTGTCGAGGGTGGGGCAGGGGCACTGGAATGGGTGACTACAGAGGGGCTAACACAAATTTTAGGGCTATAGCCCACCCCCAAGCCCACAAGCCCAGCTCCCCTACCAGGAAGAGGCTAGCACTGCCCCTTGCCCATGGGGGAGGTTGGGTGGATCCAGCCAGGCTGGGGGTGGGGTGGCACATGTCTGCTTCTCCTCCCTGCTCCCCACCACCCCTCCTTGCCAGTGGCAGAGCAGAGTTGAGTGGGGCAAGGGCAGATGTGGGCTGCTCGCTGTAGGCTCGGGGCTCTCCAGGGCTCTCCGTTCTGCTGCCTTTGCCCTGAGCCCGCAGTGGGCAGCTTGCATCCGCCCCACACACAAGTCTGGGGGGCACATGCTCCCGCATGCCTCCCCCCAGGGGTGCATGCAGCGGCAGGGAGCCCACCCCACCCCTTGCCCCTGATCAAGCTGCCCGTGGCTCTGTCCCTCTCCCCATCCCAGCCTCAGGTCCCATGCACTGCCCTGGCTGGACAGCACCCCTAGCCCCTATACCTGCCCCACTCCGTTCCTCACTGTGGGGTCCTCAACCTGCCCCCCATCACACCCCTTCCCCCCATATACTTGCCTGGAGGGAGATGCTTTCCACGCTCCTCGGCTGTGTTCCAGGCCACATGCATGCAGGCAGTGCCTCCTGCATCTCATTCCCGGGAGCCCCTTGCGGGCTGGAATGCTGCCTGCCTGCAAAGGGAAACCCACTATTTCCCATGGGAACCCAGGCATCTGGCGGCCCCTAGGCCTGTGCATTAATCCACCTATGGGGGGCCCAAAACTGAACACAGTATTCCAGATGTGGCTTCACCAGCGCTGAATAAAAAGAAATAGTCGCTTCCCTTGACCTACTGGCAACACACCTACCAATGCAGCCCAGTATGCCGTTAGCCTTCCTTGCAACAAGGGCACACTGCTGGCTCATATTCAACTTACTGTCCACTGTACCTCCCAGGTCCTTTTCTACAGAGCTGCTGCCCAGCCAGTCAGTCCTCAGCCTGTACCAGTGCATGGGATTCTTCCATCCTATGTGCAAGACTTTGCACTTGTCCTCGCTTCATGAACCTCATGAGATTTCTTTTGGGCCCAATCCTCCACTTTGTCTAGGTCACACTGAATGCTAGCCCTACCCTCCAGAGTATCTAATATTCCCCCCAGCTTGGTGTCATCTGCAAACTTGCTGAGGGTACCCTCTATCCCATCTTCCAGATCGCTAATGAACATATTGAACAAAACCAACCCTTGGGCACGCCGCTTGATACCACCTGCCAACTAAACATTGAGCCATTGATTACTACCCTCTGAACCTGATGCTCCAGGCAGTTTTCTATCCACCTTGTAGTCCTATTTATCTATCCCATACTTCCTCAGCTTGCCTGCAAGAACATTGTGCGAAACTATCAAAAGCCTTGCTAAAATCAAGGTATACCACATCCACTGGTCTCCCCACATCCACAGAGTCAGTCATCTCATTGTAGAAGGCAATCAGGTTGATCAGGCATGACTTGCCCCTGTTGAATCCATGCTGACTGTTCCTAATCATGTTCTCCTCCATGTGCTTAGAAATGAATTCCTTTAGGATGTGCTCCGTGATTTTTCCAGGGACTGTAGTTCTCTGGATCCTCCTTCCCTTTCTTAAATATGAACACTGTGTTTTTTTCCCTTTTCCAATCATCCAGGACCTATCCTGATCAACATGAGTTTTCAAAGATGATGGCCAGTGGCTCTGCAATCCCATCAGCCAACTCCCTCAGCACCTTCAGGTGCATCCCATCTGGACCAATGGGCTTGTAGATGTCCAGCTTTTCTAAATAGTCCCTAACCTGTTCCTTCACCACTGAGGGCTGCTCACCTCCTCCCCAAACTGTGCTGCTTGGTGCAGTAGTCTAGGAGCTGACCTTGTCTGTGAAAACTGAGGTGAAAAAGGAACTGAACACTTCAACCTTTTCTGCATCCTCTGTCACAAGTTTGCCTCCCCCATTCAGTAAGGGACCCACACTTTCCTTGAGCTTCCTCTTGCTACCAACATACTTGTAGAACCCCTTCTTGTTACCCTTCACATCCCTTGCTAGCTGCAACTCCAATTGCACTTTGGCCTTCCTGACTTCATCCCTGTATGCTCAAGCAATGCTCTTATGTACTCCTCCCTAGTTCTTTGTCCAAGTTCCACTTCTTACAAGCTTTCTTTTTGTGAGTTTACTGAAGAATTCCCTGCTAAGCCAAACTGGTCTTCTGCCATACGTGCTTGTGTTCCTGCACATCAGGATGGTTTGTCCCTCCACTCTCAGTAAAGCTTCTTTAAAGTACAGCCAGCTCTCCTGGACTCCTCTCCCTCTCAGACTGGCTTCCCAGGGGATCCTGCCCATCAGTTCCCTAAGCAAGTTAAAGTCTGGCTTTCTGAAATCCAGGGTCCTACTGTACTACCCTCCATCCTTCTTTTCTTTAGGATCCTGAAGTCATCCTGAAGTCACCAGGTCATCTTGTTTAACTTTATCAAATAAAAGTATTTCTGGATGTAGTATATTTGTGCAACATCCTTGCAACTGTGCTACAAAAGTCATGCTTGTGTTGTTGTACTGTAAAAATTGTTAGTTGTCTTGCAGTGCCAGTTCCATGTTTAAAAAAAATATTGAAAGCTAGAGGCTTCTGATGACTACATCATGTTTATCAATATATACCCAGGTCTTTTAAATGTATTGAAATCTAAGTTTCACATTTATATGAGATGAAGATTTTTAAAACTACCACACAACTGCATCCTACTTTTGGAGGGCCCTTAAATCCTCATTTCTGCTGTTAAAATCCCCATAGTACTTCAATTTCTGCTGATGGGTTTACATACAACCACTGAAATCCTGACAGCACCAGGGATTAGCTCTGGCACGTGTAAAGCATGGTTTCGTTCTCACATCAGGCATTGCCCCACCTACTTTGTCTGTAGGATCTAATCCAGAGGTGTTCTCAGAACATAGATGCCAAATTTGGCCTCATGAGGAGAAGACAACATTGGTATCTTCCTTATGATAATTTATTAGGTAACTCGCATGAAATGTGAGACCCAGATACAAATTCTGAAATAAATCAAACAGAAAGGGTTGAATATTTTCCACCCACAGCTATATTTAATAGATATAAAACTGTGGCTGTACTTCTCCATTTCATACCATGCATGCAGCCTCATGTTCTTTCCACAGCAGCTACTTAAATGCATTCATACCCATGTAAGTTTGCATATAAATGATGATGTTGGTCTTCCATAATTTTCAGGCTACCTAGCAGATTTTACCCTGGATTTCAGAAGTTAATACAACACCTTTCCCTTTAACTATTTACTCTTTTTATTAACGTCCCTAGATTTGAAAGGCTTTTCATTAACAAGATCTCGCTATTGCAAGTGGCCTTTGCTCATTCTTTGGAATTCAATACAGATTTCCAACTGGGCTGGGAAAATGCCTGGTAGGTAATCCTCTGTACTGTAAAATCAAGTTTATCACTACAGCTATCATAAAACAGAGAAAGAGCCTTCTATTTTCTGTTTTGACACTGAAAATACACTTCATAATAACTTTGATTCTCTCAATAAAAGAATTCTCTCTCTTTGACAAAACACTGTCATATGAGCTTATTACTTTTTTTCTTTAAAATGCTTCTCTAGATAGCTAGTTAATATTTTACTAGGATAACTAGAATCTTAAACAGTTCTTTTCCACTGCGTCATCTGATCATACATAGGTTGCTTACAAAGAATAAGGAGGGAGGGAGAGAGAGGTAGAAAAATGCCTGTGGTAAGTTACTTTAAATGTACTCTTTCTGTTTTATTCAAAGCACATTTAAAAGTTCAGTTAATGTATGGTCAATCTTGTAAAGATCTGTTGGAACAAGGAAGTATTAGAAAGTGTTTGAATTAGCACTGCAGGGCTATCAGAAAGAGGAATTCAGAAAAAGGAACGATTAGTAACATGGTTGTGAAAGATTAGTAACTTCAAACTCAGCATAGATAATCAGCTTCCAGAGAAACTCTTCTTAAATTAATTGTTGTGCCTTGGATGGTTAGAAATAGATTCTACAGCATCTAGGAAATTACGCTCTAAATATTTTTATTTTCCCCATAAAGAAGTATTAACATTTCAATGGATTTTTCCATAAATAGAGGGATTATCCAGTGGTATATAGTTTCTAAATGCTTTGATGCCAGTATTCATTGATGCATTCATTTTTAATCCCTGCATGCACGTGTATATAGTGTGGACTGGAGTTAGTGCTGTTATTGGTGCTACCGCCGAGTCTCATTTCAGTCTGTGCCAAACTGACCACACTTCCAACACGTTGGACTTGATTGGCAGTTCCTTAGAGGAAAACTAGCAAAGGATTTGAACTTCTTGAATTGCCTCTCTCAGAAGTTTCCAGCTTCATATTCCATCATGTTGGAGGAACTGAATTGCCTCTTTAGCCCACATATTCCTCAAATTCTTTATGGAAGTCTAGTCTAATCTATTACATATGTTCCTGGGCCCTAGATTCCCTGGCAACAATATTTTCTGCCTGTCACCAGCCCCCAAATGCTATTGTGATTCTCAGACAGACAGCGGTATAGCTTGCTTACATGTTACTCTTGTAGAGGAGCTATTCTCAACACTATACAGAAGGTTGGGGAAATAACTGTGAGAAGTGACTGAGCACTCACTTGTTCATAAACTGTGGAGGCCCATTTCCCACATAGAAAAGGAAGGGGCTTTTCAACCCTTCTTTCACACACTTGAGCACTGTATTTCAGTTCCTCCATTTGCAAAAAAGGAGCTAGATAGCCCTGTCTGTATTTTCATCATCCAGAAAACCCTACTTTTTAACAGCACTAATTTTATGCTCAAAAAACTAGTACTGCAAGCATGCAGTAATAAGCCAAAACATCTTGAGCACAGAAATAAAAATAGAATTTATGAACTAGGAACTGTGTTAAATTAACTTTTTAGCCATTTGTATAACCAGTTATGAATTTTTGCTTGTAACAGGATTTCATTACTGTACATATGAAAACAGTTTGGAGCCCCCTGCTGGCCAAAGTTATAATGCTGTGCAAATCCTACAGTTTTGCATGTGGTTAAAAATGCATCAATAGGCCTATTGATGTAAGCTGAATGATTTGCATGCTTAAAACATACGTGCACATTCCTAGGGGAAAAAATCCTTCACAGTAAGACCCCAACTCTTGTGGCAAACCCTATAATTCTGCACAAGTGGAGAAAATTGCTCAGGGTTGGAACCCAAGTCTCTGTGTTAGCTACAATAGCTATTGACATGGCCAAAAGTAAAGAATTAAAATAAAAAACTCCCACACTATTCTTAACCATCATTCCAACTTAACTCCTGTCCCCTCCCCCCCCCAAAACAAACAAAACCCACACCATGTTGCACACATGATATTTTTTGATCAGCAGGAGCTCTCTCTGAAGCACTGTCTACATTTTAGACAGAAGTTGGGTAGTATAGGAGAGTCGGTTCTTACATGTGATTGAAATCAAATGTAAATTTAAAATGTATTAAATAGGAAGTGAGACTATATGGCTCCTATTCCCTTTTCGGAGCGCTAAAACAGGACAGATGGATCCATAAACCTCTCTTCTAAGCAGCTTGTTTGGGCCTTTTACTACTTCAGGCTGCTATCACACATGCAAAATCTAATCACAAGCTCCTCCTTGCTTATCTTAGAGGAAAAAACACCTCTCCTATTCTGTCAACAAGGTGTGGAGAAACATAATCCTGTTGTTGAGGTGTGGTAGGTACAGGAATTCTCAGTAACCCTGCCCTCAAGAGTAGGGGTGTATTGAAACTTCATTTTATAATGATAAATGTCTGAAACAGAACTAAATGTATTGCTTCACCCATCACACAGTTGAATGTACTTATATTCTTTTGGAGTGGGAAGACATGAAGGTGCATGGCACAGCATGGCAAGATGTGGTGTTAGAATTAAGATTCCCTCCATCTTTGATCTAAAATTTCATAACTGCTATCGTTCTCAGAAAGCAATAAATTATTCCCCCTCCTCCTCGTTCCTTCCTACACAGTGTGAGAGGTATATGATGATTATATGGTACTGCCTTAAATTTATCCTTTATTAATAATGTTTGATATTTGAGGAACAATAGCTAATTAATAGGTTTATACCATCTGCTGGTCAAGTGCTTTAGTTTTTCAGCACTTTGAGCTGTTAAGATTCACATAAAACTTGGATCCATGGTTGGCAATGTTAGAATTACAGTGTTCCATTTACAAAAGTTACAGGGAAATGGCTTTCTTTTCCAGATCTCTTATTGTATTAAGATATTGTTTGCCTTATCATAAAGAGAGAAGTACATCTATTACAGGATGACTCAAGTGTTGTAGGCTTGGTGTGAATACAAGGGCTTAAAAAAAAAAAAAAAAAAACCAAGCAGATCAATATTTGACTTACTATTATAAAAGATCTCTAAACCACATAAGTGGGATCCCATTGTACTACAGGCAGAGGTTTTCAGCTCCAAAGTATTACTCCTGCAACCTTGGTTCCATAGAAAATGCTCTGTAGTGCTCTGAAGGACTCAGATCCCACAGAGTAGAAGGGATGGGGTAAGAGTAGGGAACATCTTAGAGTAAGAAAACATGTTATTTGTGAGGCCTGGTTTAAACTGCGATTTTGCATTTTTCATGAAAATCATGAAATTAAGTGATTTTCACAAAAAATATGACTTGCAATAAAATACCACAATATGGCCGCTTGCTGGAAAGTTCCCCAGCAAGCAGCCATAACAGCATTTCATTGCAACATGATGGCTACTCTGGCTTGGGAAAGCATCTCCTAGCCAGCAACAAAAGCCTAGCAGGGGAGGTGGGAAGGGGTTGTAAGAAGGACAGGGGGAGGATGGGGAGGGGAGGGGCTGTGAGCAGGAAAACTGGGGCCTGGGGGGTTGGGGTTAAGGGAAGAGAACACACTTGCACAAGCAAAACAGCCCCTCCCCTACCTGGTGCCAGACCCATCTGCCCAGGCAGCCTCCAGGTTCCCCCAAGCCCGCATGTCCCAGTTTTCCTGCCCAGAGGTGCAAACAGCCCATGCCCATCCCCAAGCTCTCTCCTCCCACTATCTTCTTCCAGTGAGGCAGGGGGAGGGGGGCAAGGCCTCTGCTACTGCAATTAAATCTGGCCCTAAACCTACCCCCATAGCCAATCAGAGGGCAGGCAAGGGGGTGGGGCACTACAATCTGGGTGCAAAAACAGCAGACTCTACCACAATATTAGCAAGCTGGGCCCACCTTTTAAACCAGGCCCTACTTATCTGGGCAATATGCACGGAGACTCAGGCTGCTTGTAGACATTAAGAACACAGTGCTTTACTTTCAACTCAGCACACTCCTGCGCCAAGCCCTGCATATATCCAGAAGATGCAGCACCTTAGTTGGACCTTGCTCACCTGACATCTGTAAAGATAGAATGCTTGGTGAGGCTTTTTTGGTGCTTCTACCTAATAGCTGATTGAATCAGCTCTAGCTAAAAGCACCAAAAAGCCCCTCTGAAGCACGCAATCTACACTGCAGAGCCGGCTCAAAGTAGCACACTGCTTCTTCTGTTAAAGCACAGTTTTGTTTTAGCATCTGCAAACTAATCTGTAAGGCTGCAGGTACCCAAGAACAAAATTAAAATTCTTGAAACCCCTGTCTAGCTGCTGTCTATTTCTGGAGTTACCCATATCCATAGACACCTATGATTTTACCAAGGAAGTTTTCTAGGTGTCTAAAGTCCAAAGTCCTTACAGTGCTATGTGGAGGTGCAGTTAGCCCTACAATTTCCACAAACAAGACACTCCTCTACCCATCTTACCTGTAGGGCTCAGTCAGATAGTTGTTTTCATCTATGAAATTAATCTCCATGCATTAAACTTGAGGAAGAAAGAGCCCTTTTATCCAATGTCTCAGATGTTAGAGCACTCAGCAGCCAGGTGGGACCCTGAAATTCAATTCAAGCACCCACAGCAGTTAATGCACTTGTTAACCACCAGGTTAATCAGCAACACACATAACAAACAGGGCTCCATATCCTGGAATTCGGTGGCAGGATCCATTCCTACTCACCCCTCCCCTCTTCCACCCATGAGTTCATAGACATCAGGGCTGGAAGGGACCTCGGAAGATCAGAGTCCAGCCCCCCACCCAAAGGGCAGGAAGTCAGCTGGGGTCATAGGATCCCAGCAAGATAAGCATCCAGCTTCATCTTGAAGGTGTTCAATGAAGGCGCTTGAACCACCTCCGGTGGCAGGCTGTTCAAGGGAGTTCCTGGACCCTGAGACCAGATGATGGCTCCAGAGGCCGAATCTAGTATACAGACCAGATCTTTGATATCCCTGCTACAGGCTATTGGGGGGAGGGATGAAGAGAGTCTCAGTCCTTCCTGTTCAGGTATAACTGTTAAAAAACATTCTATTTTGCATGGAATAATTAAATAATTATTGGACTAGAGAAAGCAAATTGCTAGTTAGGGAAGACACTCACTAAAGAGATATCAGTTCTAACCTTCTACTCCACTGAATGGTTAAAAGCATTTTATTTTAAATATTTGTTAAGGAGTCACTTACTCTCTCCAACCCTATGACTAAAATTATTCCAGTTTTGGACTTTGGTCTCCCACACTAAGTTGGTTCCAACCACTGAGAATAGTAGATAGAGACTACCAGCTCCTTCATCCATGTCTTACAGAAGAGAGCTGGCAAAACAGATGCATCATAATCAATCTCCAGACCAGTTTTGCAGCCACTGACCACAGTCAATTTGGATTACTTTTTGTGATTTAGGTACCAACCACTTAAGTGCTGTTCATATGCCAACAAGATCAGTTTGGATCTGGTCTGGGGTATCTGAAGTTACGCACTGCAGTGTCTAGCAGTGCAATATCAAAACTGTTTTGTGGCTCCAATCCTCACTTCCCATTCTGTTCTGTGAAACTCTGAGGAGGACTCCTAAGCTGGGAGAAGCATTCTGTCAGAGACAAGAAGTGCTTAGTCAGAGAGAAGGGAGGTCATGGCATGGAGGCACTGAACACAACAGAGTATTCCCATACTTAAAATGCAAGGCCCCTGGCTCCAGCAGTGGAATTCACAAATTCAAGGTAGACACCTAAGTTAATTATATTTTAAATGGGGAGAATTCAGCAGCTAGGATGGGGATTCATTACACAGTCTATCAAGCATGGGGACACCTAACCCAGTTGAGGAAACACTGAAGAAAATCTGATACACCATCCAGAGGTATAACTAGCAGGGTTTGTGTCCTTGACAAAAACCTGCCAGAGAAACAGGGAGATTAAGTTAGCTATTAGATAAAAATTTCAAAAAGCCCTGCTGAAGCACGTGAGCTATATGGACGCTGGATGAGCCAGGTCAAACTGATGCAACGCCTCTTCTGGGCACATACTGCGCTCAGTGTGTGGGCACACTGAGCTGAAAGTAAAGCACTGTTTTGGGTCCCCATCCCCCCCCCCCCACCGTGTAAACAGCCTTAAAATTTATGGAGTTTGAATTCAGAGTCTGTATCCCTAGCTCATATGCTCAATAGCTACTGATGCTCCTTTCCTCCAAAGTGTACAATCCCTTTCTGAAACTGGCTAAACTGTCAGCTTCCACAGCATTGGGTGGCAATGAGTTCTACACTTTAATTATGTGCTGTGTGAAAAAAACTTCCTTTTGTTAGTTTTAAACTTGCTACCTACTAGTTTTATTTTGTGACCCCCTAGTTCTTGTATTGTGCGAGTGTAAGTGATAAATCCCTATTTAATTTCTCTTTGCCATTTAGTATTTTGTAAACCCTCATCATGTCCCTCCTCAAGCATCTCTTTTCTAAACTGAATAGGCCAAGCCTCTTCAGTCTGTCCTCATATGGAAATCCCTCTATACCACTAATCATCCTTGTTGCTCTTCTCTGTACCATCTCTAGTTCTTTTATATTCTTTTTGAGATGTGGGCACCTGAATTGGGCACAGTATTCAAGGTGTGGATACTCCATGGATTTACTAAGGGGCATGATGATACTTTTAGTTTTGTTTATATTGCCCTTAACAACCCCTAACATTTTGTTCACCTTTTTGATGGCAGCTGGGCATTAAGCCAATGTTTTTAATGACCTGTCCACAATGACTCCCACATCTCTTTCTTGTGTGGTAACAGCTAATATAGTGATAACAATGATAGTATAAGTATGGTTAGGGTTATTTTTGTTCAGGTGCATCACATTACACTTACCTACATTGAATTTCATCTGCTATTTAGTTACCCATGAACTCACCTGCACCAAATCCTTGTGTAGTTCCTCACAGTCCATCTTGGTCTTTACCACTTCGAATAATTTTATCATCTGCAGATTTGGCCACCTTGCTGCTAACCCCCTTTTCCACATCATTTATAAATATGATAAACTGCCCCAGTCCCAACGCTGATCCTTGGGGATCCTGCTGTTTGCTACTTTCTATCCTGAAAACTGACCATTTATACTTACTCTTTGCTTTCTATCTTTAAATCAAGTTCTAATCCACAAATGGACATTTCCTGCAATCCTACAGCTGCCTAATTTAGTTAAGAGCCTCTGATGTGGGAGGACCTTTTCAACGGCTTTTTAGAAGTCCAAATATATATTATGGTAACTGGATCACACCAATCCACCTGCTTATTGACAACCTCAGAGAACTCAAAAATCTCAGTAAGTTCCTTAGGAAATTTCTAGTGCAGAGACTTAAGTATTCCCTGAAAACAGTAATAAATCCACCTCTTAAAAGATACACAAATATACATAAAGGATTTACTCTAAATTATACATAAATGTTGGGCTGGACTTTTTCCTCCTTTATGACACAAGGTTTAAAATTTAATTAGAAAAAAAAAAAAAAAGAAAAGGATCTGGAATGTTGTTCTGCTTGGGGGGGGGGGGGTTGTTTTTGTTACTGTTAAAAGTATCTAGAACCTCAAGCCTGATGTCAGGGGAAGAAGCAAGTGCCTTGAGTCAAAGGAGGAAGCAAGTTAATTAGTTAAGCCACCTCCCTACTTCTTTTAAAAGAAGAAAAGGTTTGGAGTATTTTGCACATGCATTGTTAAGAAGCAAAATAGGTACAGTAAGTTTTTCCTTCTCTTTCACAGGTGTTCTTTAAGCTATTGAATAAGGCAGGGAGACAAATTCAGGTGTTCACTGTGATAAACACCTTTACCCTAATTTAGTTTTAAAAAAGGGCGGGGGGGGAGGGGCAGGCAAGAACACACAGGGAGGTGGAGAGGAAGTCTTCACTTAGGCTATACTTAGAATTAGGCCTTGCCACCATCTTTCAAAGGAGTATGGTACTGCTCAGGAGTAAGAGGCTGCTCTTCATTTCCAGCTATTTTATTTTAAAAGTTAGTGAAGTAGCACCTAACAGAAACCTTCACTACTTTCTATGTAGATGGAGAACAATAAGAATACCACTGATACAATTTCTACCCTACAAATTCAAGTTGATGATGTCAAAAATGTTATGACCAAAAACATCGATAAGGTTTTGCAAAGGGAAGAAAAACTGAGTGAGCTTGTTGACAGAACAGATGATCTCCAAATAGCGGTAAGTGATACGATTTCTCATGCAGCCTGTACATTTGACATGCAAAGGCTTTACATGAACTCCTTAATTTTGGTGAAATTCTGTGAGTTTATACAGTCTTTACTAGAATAAAGTAATGGTCAACATAGACATAATTCTTTACAGCGAGGGTTGGCAAAATATGGAATGGGCTTCCAAGGGAAGTATTTTCTTCTACCTTGGAGGTGTCCAAGAAGAGATTGGACCTAGCTGGGGTTATTTAACCTCAGTGCTCTTTCCTGCTTCAAGCCTTGATGATCTACCTGGGTCCCTGATGATCTTCTGGCCTCAATGATCTACCAGCTCCTTTCTGACCCTAGAAATCTAGGAAATCTATAAAATGTCTCTTTCCTTCTTATTGACAATTACACAAATTTTCAGGGACAGAAAAAGTGTTAGAATATTGCATTAATGCATACTGCAGGAAAATATCACTATATTAGTATGTGAATTGTAAGATTTCTTTTTAATTAATGTAATGCTTCTAAGCCTTTAAGACTCATTAGCTGTTCACCCTTATCAAAGGAAAATTGTTTTGAACATTTAAGTGAACCTTTCCAAACAAACCTATTTTATGGAGGTTGCACAAGACCTATGTTACTAGAACCTGTGTTTTGCCTCAAACCTTCAGCTTTCGTTGACATGTAAATCTTTTAAATGTAACTATAGTCTCTTTCTACTCAACCTCTAATAGGGTTTTTTGTTTTTGTTTTTTTAACTGGTGAGTATGGAAAACTATATACAATGCAATTAAAAAAAAATTAAAAAAAAAAAAATCAAAAACCACCAATTCAAATTAACCGAATAAAAGTTTGAATCCAATCACACAATTCAGAAAAGTATTTATACTGCTAGACTTATTTTTATTGTAAATGGGGGAGGGGGTTGCAATTAAACAGGTCATGCTTGGTAAGGCTGCACAGTCTGTATACCTGTCAAGTAAGCTTCAAGTCTTCTCTTGTGTGGCTATTTAAAAACAATTTCCTGTACAACAATGTTCAACAGATCCAGTTCCTGAGAAATAAAAAGTTTCTTGTCATTTTGCTTTCAGGCTGATGCTTTTCAAAAAACATCTACAAAGATTTCCAGGAAGATGTGGTGGAAAAACTTCAAAATGATTATATTAATTGTTGTTATTTTCCTTATTATTTTAACATTTATTATCCTCTTGGCTACAGGTGTTATCCCAACATGAACTTATAGTTTTCATGTTGAACAGTAAACAAGTCGTATATAGATTTTATCTAAAAGATTTCTTTATAGATTTATTTATCCTTTGTTACATTTGTATATTATTAAAAGAAAACAAAATACTGGAAATCCCCCAAAATCAGTTTGCTTCCTTTTCTTTTTACAGTTCTCCAAAAAGCCATAAGGAAATGGGTGTCATTTTAGCCGTGTGCGCGTAGTAAATCTGATAGGTAGCTTAAGTGATGTCTTGCAGAACATGTTGTAGTGTAAGATAGCTTAATAATCAACTCATAGAACTGAACAACTGAGAATCTTAAAAATATAGGCTGCTTGCATATATGAAAAAAAACAAAAAAACATGCTTTACTTTAAAACTTGGTACAGTTCCACACCTAGCCCAGCACATGCCCGGAACAGGTAACGCATTAGTTGGACTCTGCTCACCTAATGTCTGTATAGATAGTGCGCTTTTAGTGGGGCTTTTTTTTTTTTTTTTTTTTTGGTGCTTTTATCTAATTTTTTCCATCATGGCCTTCTAGTCTAAGTATAAAGGTGACCATGAGGTCATGAGTCCATTTCTTGTGATGCATACCAAAATACAGAGCAACCCAGAGCATGGCATGGGAAACCATTTTGCTCAGCATGCCACAGCTAGCCCAAACTCTAGGCAGGCCCTTGCCACCATCCATGGAGCCTGGGCTGCTCAGAACAGGCAGCTGCACTGGGGTCTATGTAGCCCAGATCTAGCTTGTAGCCAACAGTAGGTGCGCACACACCTCAGGGCAAATGGCAGGGAAGGGACAGGAGCTGTGCTGCCACAAGGATCGGGCCCCTTGTGGCTCCCCCACCATCCACCCGGGCATGCCAACATCTTACAAGTCAGGGTTGCAGTTTTTTTGGTACTCTACCCAAAAAACATTGCTGACCCTAGATAGAGGGTGTTATGCTATGCAGTATCTAGGGCTTCAGACAGGCGAGATCTTCATTCTATAGCTATAACAAGCACAAAGAAACACTTAAAAAGTAGGATTAAAACTCGAAGCTAATTTCAGTCCACTCCACTGTTTTGTCCCTTGTGCAAATCATTTAACCTCTGCAGCTTTCCTACATATCACATTGCAGCAATCTAGTTTGTGAAATGTCCAATAACTAAATCTGAAAGAGAGGGAGAGGTGAGTTAGTCTTGCATGAAAAATAAATTTTAAATGTAGTTTATGACTGAAACTAGCTTTTCTACAGATCTACACTTAGATTTCATAGACATTAGGGCTGGTAGGGACCTTGCAAGATCATCTGGTCCAGCCCCCTGCCCAAGGGCAGGAAGTCAGCTAGGGCCAGACCCCAGCAAGATGATCCAGACGCATCTTGAATGTGTCCCAAGTGCTTGCACCACTTCTGGGTGGAGTCTATTCCAGACTCTGAAGATTTGGACAGTAAAAGAAGTTCTTCCTTATGTCCAGTCTAAAACTGTCTTTCAGCAGTTTAATGATCATTGGACCTTGTTTTCCTTAGGGGAGCCCTGGTAAAACAATATTTTTCAAGGAAGGAGTTTAGGAGCTGAAACACTGTCTGGACCAGCTCTCTACATTCCTCCTCTGCCTGTAGCAGTTGAGACTTTAAAGCTGTTAATGGAAAATAGCAGGTGGAGGTGGCTGCCTAAATCCACTTCTCCAAAAATTTCTTGGATTGATCTCCCTCAAGAGCATCCAAACCTTTTCTCCCACATTCACAAAGCACAGTGGTGGTGCTGAGAGCCAAAATGTTTGCCAATACATTCCCCAACTGTGGCAACTCCTGGGCCATCTTCTGCTCCTTGCTGATGACAAGGCAGCTACAAGGTCACTTCTTTCCAAAATGACCACAGACTTTGGCAATCCTTCGCAGCCAAGTATAATAGTCTTCCATGAGGGTCTTATCTGTGTCTGAAGATGGTTGGTGAGGGCTCTACTGCAGCTCAGATGTGCTTCTATGTGGGGTAGGTGGCGCTGGATTCTTTATTTTGTCCGACAAGCTGTTCCTGCACACGTTGAATCTCCTTAGCCTTATCTTTCCACCATTTGTTCTTCATATCATGGGTCCTTTGAACCTCTGCCTTGGCTTATTGGAGATTTGACTTCTTTTGCTTGGAGTTGGTGTCATTTTGCCAAGCACAAAAGGCCTTGCACTTGCAATCAATCAACTCTTGGATCCACTGGTCACTCTCATCAAGCCAGCCTTGATGTTTCCTGGTAGATAATCCAAGTGTCTTCATAGGTGCTGATGACAGTGGCTTTGAGACCACCCTACATGCTGCTGACATTCTCCCATTGTTGTTGATTGGAATTCACCAGTTCTTTGTTCAGGCACTAGTGGAAGAGGTCTTGCTTGCTTGGGTCCTCAAGTCCTTCAACATTGATGTTCCATCAGCATTGCTTCTGCTGCAGCTGTCATTTGGGAACCAGTTTGAGTGACATAACTGAGCAGATGAGTTGATCAATCATCAGCTGCTAGCTCAGGTGATATGGATACCTTTGTCATGGTCTGTGCCTGGGATTGAATATTCAAATCAGGTGTCAAAGCTGAGATCATGAGTGTAGCCATGATGTCTTGTGCCTGTTTTTTTTTGGTATTTTTGGTGGAACAAGGCCTTAGTGATGGCAAGTCCATGTTCAGTGCATTTGGTCAAGAGGAGGATGCCACTGGAGTTGACCTTACTTACTCCTTCCTTGACAATGGTTCCATTCCAGAGGTTAGAATCCCTTTGGACTCTGGTGTTGAAATCTCCGAGAAGCAGCCCGTCTCCCTCCGGAGACATCAGAAAGGACTTGGTCAAGGTTGGCATAGAATTCCTCCTTGGTTTCATTAGCTGTGTCAGAAGCCGTGGCATATTGGCTCCCCACCTGCTTAAGAGAGTCACGAGGCACTCTGATACAGAACTTATTGAGTTGGTTTATTAGCTAATTCTTAAGTGACAAAACCAGCTCCATGAAGGTGGCATTCTCCTTCCTGTTTACCATTCCAGAAGAAAAAAAAACTGTTTTCATGAATGATGCCTGTGCTTCTTGGAGAAGTTACTGCACATCAGCTTCCAAACAGCTCTCAACAGAATGGGACCTTGATCCAATGGCAAGGAAAGCAAGACAAGTGGGGATCTTGTTCTACTGCAGCATTCATCTTCCTTTGCAGCCATTGAGATTCTAGCATCTTCTTCCACTTTTTCCCCACCATTGAGGATTTTTATACCCTTGGCTGGGGTCTGGGCAGGCTTATTATAGATTCATAGATGTTAGGGTCAGAAGGGACTTCAATAGATCGAGTCCAACCCCCTGCATAGGGAGGAAAGAGGGCTGGGTCTAGATGACCCCAGCTAGATGGTTATCTAACCTCCTCTTGAAGACCCCCAGGG